ATATTTATAAGATGATTATAATTATATAATTTGCTAAAAGTTTAACGTATTTTAATTAATATACGGTTATATACTAATATAATAAGAGTGTAAAACAAAATCCAAGAAAATAAAGTGTAATTTAAAAAAAAATTTAAAAATATTTACTTTTTAAAATCTTTAGAGGACAAATGGTTTATGCAATTTGCATAAACCATAATTTTTTCAATCAGAAAAAGTGTTTTATGTAAAGCATTTGTGTAAATTAGACTAATTAATACATACACCCTTATATGTTGCTAAGTACATTCTTACCTATGAATTTCTTTCTTACACATATCAATATTAGTAATTACTTTTTACATTCTCAACGCATAAATTAATCTGATTTTTACTTTTACAGGGATGCAAATAGCATTACCCTTTAAAAATGGCTTTAAATATGGCTAAAAAGTGAAATGAGGTGAAATTTTAAAAATATTGGTCATTTCGGTTAATTCTCCCCTTTTTCTAGGTGTTGCACCAAAAGTTGTCTGCGTCGTTAATTGTGTATCACATGTGACAGACTACAATATCATATGTGATTGACTATAATAAAAAAAAACGTTTCAGTGTTTTCTTAAAATAAAAGTATTCTCGCTTGAACACTTCCCCTCTCCCTCTTTCTCTCTCTCTATGAATGTGTGTATACTATGAATGCAATATCTCATTATGTTTAATCTCAGAATTTTGAAAACTCTCAAACATATAGCGTTAATACAGTTTGCATCGAATCTAACCTAAGATACAGTTCGGTTTAAATTTAGTAAATATCTTAAAAAGTATAAATGCACGTCATATTTTCTTTTACGAATTCTAAAAAATTGTTCATCATCTATTCTTTTATCGTACTTGTTGGATCCAAGCTCAATATTTCATTTTAGCTTATTAAGAAAAATTATAATATACATAACATTATACAGTTGATCAAAGAGAACGGAATTGATTTATTGAGCATGCCGCCGGTGAGGTTGGAAGAGGACGAGGAAGTGAATTATGAAGCAGTGACGACGGCAGTGAAGAAAGCCCTTCGATTGAACCGTGCCATCCAAGCAAAGGATGGACATTGGCCTGCCGAAAATGCAGGCCCTATGTTTTTCACTCCTCCACTTGTGAGCTCGTCTTTTCTTTCGTATAAATGTTTATGATGCTTTATTCAAAATATAATCGTCCAAGATCCCATCTTCAGTAACATGATGGCCTCTTACAGTCATGGTTTCTAAAAGGCACGTCATGGTATAGGTGCTTCTACGACACCACGTAAATTCCATGTGGCAATTAATAGTACTGAGTAATACTAGAAAACATCTATATATATATATATATATATATATATATGAAATATTGACTCACTGTCTTAAAGTCACTTCTTAGCATTCACCAAGTATAGAGGGTTAGGGAGTCTTGAACTTAAGAACGGGTAGTAAATAACCCAGTTTCTTATCGTGGCCTCATCATCTTGAGGCTTAATCTTGCGGCCATGCTATGTCACACGTCATTTGAAACCTTATTTACAATAACCAGAGGCCAAAGCATTTTACCTTTATCGTCTCAAGAAATGATCATGTTGATCATGTATACAAATACAAAATTACCCATAATATACCTACAGATGTCAGCTGCTACGGGGTTATTTTTGTCAATTCACACCTTATATATTGAATGTGTAGCTTATTGCAATGTACATAAGCGGAGCTATCGATACACATTTAACCAAAGAACATAAGACGGAAATGATACGTTATATCTACAACCATCAAGTAAGAATCATCTTTCTTTCCTCTCATCGTTTAATTAATAGTTTAATATCTGGTATATGATTATATTTCAAGTCAAATGTTGCCAATTTATAAAATGATTGTGTCAGAATGAAGATGGAGGGTGGGGATTTTATATTGAGGGGCATAGCACCATGATCGGGTCCGCACTGAGCTATGTAGCCCTACGGTTGCTAGGAGAAGGACCCGATGATGGAAATGGTGCAGTGGACCGAGCTAGGAATTGGATACTTGACCATGGGGGTGCGGCCTCGATTCCATCTTGGGGAAAAACTTATTTATCGGTAAATGTTTTTTCACAAAAAAAATCGCAATTTTAAACGTCACCTGATCAACTAATTTCCGTACCTTTATATGCAGGTGCTCGGGGTATACGAATGGGAAGGATGCAATCCACTTCCACCGGAATTTTGGCTTTTCCCTGAAGCTTTACCATATCATCCTGGTACATACATTTCCCGTCATCTATAGTCAAAGAAAAAACTCATACACGTGAACAATTGTTGCATAAAATTTATGTAACAAACACCATAAACGCTCAAAATGCACATATAATCGAAGCCAAAACCGAACGAGCGCAGTATATCCCATCGGAAGGTGGGGTCTAGACGGTGGGATGTGCGCCGACCTGTCCTTTACCCCAAACACTAGAGTTGCTCCTCAAATTGCATGTATTAAAAGAGAAAAAAGATTGCAAACAACTCGTTGTACATGTATTAGCCACCAAATTTTGAACGCTCGTAAAATTATTTATAGCATCCTGATTCAAAGACAAAATAGATATACAAATAAGGTACTTCATCCTAGAACCCACCTTCGGGTGAGATATAATGGGGTGAAGGTCAAGATCTACATGCATCTCACCCCCGACCCCACCTTTAGTGGGATATACCGGGTTCGTGTGGTTTGGTTTGGTTCAGTTTGTACTTCATTCCATACAAAAATGCAACGTTTGATCTAACATATAGTTTAAAATTATATGGTGCACGACGACACAATGAGCTGAACCACTTAGCACATGACATCCTCTACAAACTATAGGCTTCATTCGGGTTTTTTATTTTTCTTCATTTCATGTTCTAATTTTGTGGAATATATTGTCATTTATCATCATACGATGAAAATGAGACCCACCAAAAAGTATTGTACAACAGGGGTTCAAGTCTCACCAAATGTGACAAGTGTGTTAGAATTCAATTTGACAAATATAAATATTATACACTTCAAAAAATTAAAATTAAAATTAAAATATGAAGAGTTGACCATAAGAATGGAATAAATTTTCTTGAAACTCTAAGCATACGTTGTCTTGAAATACTGAATGAAAGAAATTGTAGTTGATCTAACTATTTTTTAACCTGTGATGCAGCGAAGATGTGGTGTTATTGTCGGACAACGTATATGCCCATGTCATACTTGTACGGGAGAAAATTTCATGGTCCCATCACTGATCTTGTTCTGCAACTTCGACAAGAAATTCATCCTATCCCATATGACGAGATAAATTGGAATAAACAGCGCCACAACTGTTGCACGGTTGTTAGAATGATCTATTTTATAAAATATAGGGGAAAGTTCAAATCAGGTTCTAATTTGAACTTTCTCCTAGATGCATATATATATATATATATATGAAAGGATAATAGCATCTAAACGAAATGAAATTTATGCTGAAATGTAAGTGCTTTTGACGAGTGCAGGAAGATCTCTATTACCCTCATTCAACAGTCCAAGATCTGTTGTGGGATGGTCTTCACTACCTGAGTGAGCCCATCCTTAAGTATTGGCCTTTCACCAAGCTAAGAGAAAGAGGTCTCAAAAGAGCGGTTGAACTAATGCGCTATGGAGCTGAAGAGAGCAGATACATTACCATTGGATGTGTTGAAAAGGTAAGCTAGTTTGTAACATGAACCTATCCAATGGACAGGATCGGAGAGTAAGGCAGGCGGGTGAAAGAATTTTGTGAAAGGTTTTAATTTGACATGGGTAGTTTAGTAATTATGAATCTTGTCTCATCTCCTTTGTCCCACCTATTTTGGAGGGGAAGAAAAAAAATGTTTTTTGTGAGAAAAGTTTTTGTACTATCCTGTCCTACTGATGTATGTAACTGGTTTTTGTTTTTGGATGCAGAGCTTGCAAATGATGTGTTGGTGGGCAGAGAACCCAAATGGGAAAGAATTTAAGCATCACCTTGCTAGAGTCCCTGATTACTTGTGGTTAGCAGAAGATGGGATGAAGATGCAGAGTTTTGGGAGCCAATTATGGGATTGCACACTTGCAACTCAGGCAATAATCGCTAGTGATATGGTCGAAGAGTATGGGGATTCGCTTAAAAAAGCCCATTTTCACATCAAAGAATCTCAGGTCAAACAAAATCCTGCTGGAGATTTTACTAAAATGTGTCGGCAGTTTACTAAAGGGTCGTGGACTTTCTCCGACCAAGATCAAGGTTGGGTTGTCTCAGATTGTACAGCTGAAGCACTCAAGGTGATACCATAACCACATCTTTTATGATTTTTCTTTGCATATTAAGTTCATTTAGGAACTGTAAATATTTTAAGAACTGAGGAACCCAATATTCATAATTAATATCATGAATATTCATTATGAATATATGGTTCTCAAAATATTTATGATTCTCAAATGAACCTGCCCCATACGAAAAAGAATTGTTCTTACTATAAATTAACTATCCTCCTGCAGTGTCTCCTGTTACTATCCCAAATGCCAGAGGAAATTTCAGGAGAAAAAGCTGATGATGAGCGATTATATGAGGCTGTTAATGTCCTTCTTTACTTACAGAGTCCTATAAGTGGAGGTTTTGCTATTTGGGAGCCACCCGTCCCACAACCATATTTAGAGGTAATGTAAAATATCAACCTTCTAGAGATCAAAACAGAAAACACAACGACCGAAAAGTAATTTAGGGTGCGTTGGGTACACTGGATAGGATAGAGTAGAACTTGGATCATTGTTCCATGTTTGGCAGGACTTATGTGGAACAGAGTGGAACAGGCCTGTTCCACCCCCACCCCATGGAACAAGTTGGAACAAACCTATATTTTACCAATATAACCTCAAAATAAAACTTAATTCTCTCCTAAACCATCAAATACGCCTCCTTTACATTTTATTCATTCTTTAAATTTTATTTATTATATTTTATGCTCTTAAAACTTTGACCTTATTGTCCTCAAAATATTATTTTATACAGTTTCTATATTTTGCTTAGTTTATGTAATTTATTAAATACTAGTAATAATAATAAAAAATATAGAAAAGGTATAACATAAATTTTTTGGAAAGTACATAAACTTTTTATTTTGGTATCATTTAATCGTCTTGAAGAAAATTTTCTTAATGATATATTTTGTTATAAAAAAATATTTATTTTAGTATAATTTAATAAATTACATAAGTTAATCAAAATATATAAACAATTCATTAGGGGGTAAATAGGTCATTTTATCTATTTTGTCATGTCCAGTTCTGTCTTACCAAACGTTGAAGTGTTGTTTTGTACCTGGATACCAAATGCACACTTAAAGATCAAAAGATGTTGAGTTCATCTTTTACACCTACCTTTTGTGCAGATGTTGAATCCTTCAGAAATCTTTGCAGACATTGTTGTCGAAAAAGAGTAAGTCCCCTATAAATCTTTTTATCTTGTTATAAGGGCAGATCACTGGATGCAATATTCAGGGTGTTAAAGAGTCCCACATCGAGTAGACTTGAACCATTTCTCCTCAATATATGTTATAGCTTACCTTTCTCACCTCAAGGGCTCTTTTGGAGAGATCCAAAGGGATTTCACGTATTCTCACATGGTATCATAGGAAAAGTTACCACTCTACGTACTCGACACACCGGGCACACTGTGCTCGTCTAGCCCCCTCTCGACACCCTGGACAATTTGTGTCCTTCTAGCCTCCATTGGAGGGGGCGTGTTAGAGTCCCACAGTGGCTAGACTTGGAACATTTATCCTTAATGTATGTTGAAACCTCCCTTCTCTCCCCAAGGGCCCTTTTGAAGAGTAATCTAATGAGGTTCCATATATTCTCATATAGAAAACTTGGGAAAGACAATGAGACTAACATTTTCTATTTCGGGTGTTTAATTAGGCATGTTGAGTGCACAGCATCAATTATCCAAGCCCTTCTAGCCTTCAAACGCTTGCACCCTGGGCACAGGGAGAAAGAAATAGAAATTTCTGTGGCAAAAGCAGTTCGTTTTCTAGAGGGAAGGCAACGTCATGATGGTTCATGGTAAGCTAATCACCTCCACAGCTCCACTACTAATTCTCTGAGCAAATGATGACACTAAGAATTAAAAGATGGAGCGTATTATGAACATCTATGAATTTGACAGGTATGGTTATTGGGGAATATGCTTCCTATATGGCACATTCTTCACGCTAGGAGGCTTAGTTTCTGCTGGAAAAACATATAACAACAGTGAAGCAGTTGCTAAAGCCGTCAACTTTTTCCTTTCAACACAAAATGAAGAGGGTGGCTGGGGAGAGAGCATCAGGTCTTGCCCGAGTGAGGTATACACACCGTTGGATGGAAATCGGACGAATCTAGTTCAAACATCATGGGCTATGCTTGGTCTTATGTTAGGTGGACAGGTTAGTTTTTTGTCAAGTAATGAAGCTTATTCCAGCTAATAGCTATTTCCTTTCATGGGCTAAACACAATATATGTTCGCTTTTATCATGACACTAGGCCGAAAGAGATCCAACACCTTTGCATAAAGCAGCAAAGATATTGATTAATGCACAGATGGATAACGGAGATTTTCCTCAACAGGTACACTTAAATCACTCCCATACCATACCCTTTTGTGTCCTTACTAACAGTATCCTCATCAACTTTGAGTTTGAAAACATAAAAGTAATTCTTCTAATCACAATAGCCAAACCCCTGCCTTTTTTACTGAACATTGGACACAACTTCTTTTACCATCTTGTTATAACTTTTGACTAATCATTTCTATTAAACTGTGGCATGAATTTTGCAGGAGATCACCGGAGTTTACATGAAGAATTGCATGCTACATTATGCAGAATATAGGAACATCTTCCCTCTTTGGGCACTTGGGGAATATCGCAAACGAGTTTGGGTCAAATAAATCCATAAACTGAAGTGTCAGATGAAGTAAAAAAAATAAAAAAAATATGTGCAGATAATAAGCTAGCATCTACGTCCTGTATATTAAAATTGTGTGTATTTGTTATTATTTTATGTTACTGTAACCAAAATAATGCTTAGTAATAAATTAACTAAATTATATATGTATATATATATATATATATGAGAATTTTTGGTTTGCACTTGGTTCTCTACACAATATCAAGTACTACAAGTTCATAATTTGTTTATGATTCAGCATAAAAGCTGCTGGAGTTCTACATCGGGTAGACTTGGACCTATTCTCTTCAATATATGTTGCAACCTCTCCTCTCCTCAAAGGACTCTTTAGAGAGAGATTCAAATAGGTTTTACATATCCTAACATGGTATAATAGTCGGGTCTAGCACCACCTAGGGACTCAACACACTCTTTCTGATCCGTCTAGCCTCCGTTTGAGGGGGTGGTTGGAGTACCACACCGGCTAGATGCGGACCATCAGAACCTGTATATATGTTGGGGACACCCCCTGTCTAAAAGTGCTCTCTTGAGATTCAAAGGGGTTCCACATATCCTAACAAAAGGCAATCATACTCCACAATAGAATTAGTAATGATAGAAATATTACTTTAAATCTAAACATGAATTCAATGAACTCTTAATAAGGAGGAAGAATCACGTAAATGACAACACCATAACATGTGTATGACATGATGACATCAAAGCTTAGGCTACCCGCCAATATAAAAAAAATCAGTTCTATATTAGTGTCCTTGCTAGTCATAAAGTGGCCAAAAGAAAGCCAGTTGCAAACTATCAATATTTGAATTACTGGATTATTTTGCAGTACTAAACAGAACAAGCCACGATGAGTAACTAACCTCTTACATCTTTCCAAATCATTATCTATTGGTCCATTACACTAGCATGCAATTGTTTGTTTGCTATGAAATTCGTCTATTCCAAGTCCATTTTTTTAGAAAGATCCCATCTTTAGCCACATTAGATGATTTCCTCCATTCTTTCTGAGAAATCAGAAAACTCATTAGCTGCTTTTGCAACTGTGCCTTTGTCCTGTAATTAGAAGCCAACCTTCTATCTAAATTATCTTTCGCAGCTTCAAGTTCGGATTTTCTCATTTCAGCTGCAGCTAAATCAGAAGGATTTGAATACCCAGCACTGCATTGAAGTTGGATGAAACTCGAATTGAGCTGACAGAATGATCAATTGAAGTATGAACCTACCATACGATGCAAATTAAATTATTGCTCACGATTTATATGGCACAACAAGCTCTCCAAAATGTTGTATGGAAGATCACAACTGTTGGTACAATTCATATAATTTTAAATGCCCTTATTCCTAATGTACTTCGATTCTCAATTGAAGTTCTGCTACCCGAAAAAGACCAACAAAATGGAGAATGCAATCAACTAGAGTTCTTTCAGAAAATTCAAGCTTCTGTTATAAGATATTCAAATAGATCATAGGCATCAAGGCAAGCAAAAGATAATACTGGTACTAGCAGTCACAAAATAGAGTTAGAAGGAAAGGGAGTCCTGAGCAATTATCTATAAATTGTGAAGTGGTATAATGGCCTTACCTCATTCACACAATCCCTCAATTCCTCCACACGCCTTTGACATTGGGCGACAAATATCTCGGATCGAGCCCTAAATTCATCAACATCACGAACTTTCAAAGCAAAATACTTGTCTTTTTCCCTTTCCAACTCCTCCAGATTTTCCACTTCGCTTTTCAAAACCCTAACTTGAAACCATAAATCGTCAATAGCATATATTAACGGGATAAAAGAAGTGGTAGTAGCTATTCGATATTATGAACCTGAATTGCTGGATTTGATGAAGATAGACAGAATCTAGACGATCGAGCAGGGATTTAAGGGAAGAAATAATGAATTGGGAAACTTTGTGATCAAGCTTCAAGCACCTTTGCTCAATGTATCTGATACCGGAAAGCTTTAAAGCTAGGGTTCGAGATTTGTTGAACTGGAGCTCTTTCTCCGCCTGCCAATGATTCCAATTGATCAATACATACATTTGCCGCAAAGAATGTGATCGTGGATGTGTGATAGTATTTGGGTGAGATAACATGGAGTAGATTATAGATAGAGGCTCTGGTTTCTGGTATCCTCCATTTGTTCGAGTCTTTCTTTGAAGGTAGATGAAAGCGCCATTATCGAGTGACGTAATCACTCAAGACAACATCACAACAATTTCATGCACAGTTATTTTCTCGAATTTGTAGGGAGAGAAATGCTTATAAAACGGAGGTTAGTTAATGCTTAACCGGTTCAACCCAGCCTCTTGGCAGCCCACTTAAATTCGACCGGCTAAACCGTTAGTTAAAAGGGTTAAAATTGGGTCAGTCTAGTTCAATCCAATCCAACCCAACTTAATCCATTGCTAACTTATGTTGTTACAACGGTCAAATTAGAAATAGCGGTCAGGACATTGATTTGATATAGCGGTTATCGCAAGTTCGCAACGGTAAAGCGGCGATATAAGGGTCCATATATAGCGGTTCATGTAATCATTGCAATTTTATATGAATAGATGCATAACATAATATATATTTTGAATATGTACATAAAGACATGTGAATAGAAGAGATGAGACAGGAATAGAAACATTACTGTTAGATGGAACATTAACATTACAGTTAGCTGGAATATCCATCTCAGAGACTCCCCCAAATACGGATACGCCTCTGTGCGAGTTTACACATCAATATTGCAAATGAAAATCAGCCTCCTAGCTCGTAATCCCTTAATCGACTTCTCTAAACCCTTTAAAAGGCCAACTTAAAGCCCAACTCCTAATTGCGATTTTCACACTACTATTGAAAGTCAAAATTTCAACCCAATTACGGTGATTAACGCTACTATTAGCGGAACCGTTATTTCCCCTAGGATAGGTATAGCACCGCTATTTCACCACTATAGCACCATAATTAACGGCATAGTTACTAATATTTGTAACTTTGATAGAATTTTATTTATATTTATATATAATATACTGGTCTATTATATATATATATATATATGGGTTGAGTTCCGATCAAATGGAAATTTATGATGAGAAGCGTAAGAATATATTTCTACATTTGGATCAATCTTAATTGAATGTCAACACCAATGAGATGCACCGAGATGCACCAGATTAATTATCTTCTAAAGCACAATTCATAGGAAATATGAGATTAAAAGTGAATAAGAGTTTAGATCTCTTCTTACGCTTCTCACCGTAATTTTTCTTTCTCACACGATCATTCGCCTTATATATAGGGTTGGGTTTCGGTGAGAAAGAAAGTTATTGTAAGAAGGGTAAGAGGGGTCTCCACCCTTGGATCAATCCTAATTGAAGATCTACATTAACGAGATGCACCAAGATGCATCGGATCAATTCTCTTCTAAAACACAATTCATGGATGGGCATGAGATTAAAAGTGATCAAGGGTGGAGATCCCTTATTAAGCTTCTCACCTTCACTCTTTTTGTCACACAATCCTTCATCAAATCTAGAAGAGCAACTAATTTAAAAAAATCGATAAAACATAAATCAGAGGATAAATTCCTTTATATATATATATATATATATATATATCAATACTTGATTACCTCCGATAAAAATTCTAGATTTAACATCAACAAAACGATAGACCAACCTTACATAAAGTCTAGGTCAAGGTCTCCCAAATACATTCGCTATTCCAAAATACGGAAAATGTTCCTGAAAAACTAAATCCTTCCATGCGTCTAACTAGCACGCCATTCTTCACAATGTTGCTAGGACCATTACCCAACAAGAATCTGATGCACTTGACGTCAAATAAAAATGTTAGTGTTAACGCCTAGTGAGTTCGAACAGTTTTCATCATAATTATAAATGATTAAAACTTAAAGACTGCTTATTTAAGTAATGATTTTCTCAAACAAAATGTCTAAAGCAACATCTCTCCCAAAACCAACCTTTTATAAAAACCCCAAATGAAAACATCATTCAAATATGTACTCAAAATCCAATACCCACTCAAAACATGAATACAGCTCAATGCTCAAACAGTGAAACTCAGATAAAACTCTATTATCCAAAATACAAAATATGGGTAAGGATCAATACCCCAAAATCATGAATTATGGAAACCACTCCATACTCAAAACATCACAGAAAACATGGATAAAATTCCATAACCAAAACAACACATTTCCTTGACGATGGAGACTCGTTTCCATTAGCCGTGGAGAAACACTAAAAAAGTCATTCAGCAATGTTACCGAGCATCTCTTAAGGTTAATCGGGCTCCATGTACGACTCTACCGAGTACCATCGAAAGACCCAAGCAACGTATACGACTCCAATGAGTACCACCGCAAGCCCTGAGAGTAACCAAGATTTCTAGTCGTCTTCTAGATGAGTTCACCACAAAAGTCGTCGGTCTCCGTATACGGCTCCAATGGGCACCACCGTAAGACCTAGACTCGTACGACTCAATAGAATACCACTGGAGGCTACTAGCTTCAATACGACCCAATAGGGTACTACCAAGATTTCAAACCATGACTTTTGACCACTCACTAGAAATTATAGTGAGAACATCAAAACTTCTTACTTAAAACAACAAAACATGGACAACTCACACGTCCCGGAGTGTGACTCTACATGAGCCTATCTCCGTAATACTCGTGGTCCCATACTCCAACCCCAACAAAGGAAACTCTCTGCAATATCGACACGACCAAACTCAATCACTCCAGGTCTATCGCTCATATAGATGCCAAGCTCAACCACTTAAGGTCTATCGATCATATATTTGCCAAGCTACAAAACAAGGATAACGATCCATATTCAAACCAATAAATTGAGTCATGTGCCTATGGATCCATTGCATTGCAGTCTAAGTTATATTAATCCCAAATGAATGACTCACGCACCCAAAGCATGTAACATTCAAATAAATATGTCATAACTGCATATAACTCAAAAATCTCAACATAGAGAAAATTGATCTTGGCAAATGTCCCTCAAGACTCATCTGAGTCGAAAATCGAGCCAAAAGATCAACAACTCAATTAACTATTCAACAGAAGTCATCATACATAATATAACACATTTAACCAAAGTTTATGCAAAAACATGCTCCAAAAGTAATGATTAATTCAAAAACTCATTATTTGTTGAGACAAATCATTTCCAAATGAAATCATACTATTTACCATTCAAAAATGTGTCCTAACAAACACAATAACATATATTTTCCAAACCAATTTCACTAAATATGCATTAACATCAAATAGTTTCCCTAAAGCGGAATAAATTATCAAACTCCCCCACACTTTGTGGTTTATTCATCAAAATGCCCAAAAACCTCAAACGTAGACATTTTACGAGATTTATAAAGTCAAATGCACCATAATATAAATCTCATCAGATCAATCACACAATGTATAAACATCAAGTAAAATATCTTAAGACTTCAAAATGGATAGTTTTGGTATGTACAAAGTTTTCACAATACAACTTGAACTCACCTTTATATGTTAGGTTAAACATAGATTCCAAACTCAAATATATAGCTTCAATTGGTGAGGGATGGAGGTCCATAAGCAAACATCTCCAAGAGTTCTCCCAAGATAACACCTCAAGTCACATTAAGATCAGGCCCAACCCTAGGCATGTGCAACCCGTGCGACCGCACAGGGCATCAAAGCCCAAAGGGGCATCAAACTTTTATATAATATTAGTTTTTGGGTTTAATAATTGGAGACTTGGGCTTTAATTATAAACAGAGGCCCAACTAACCAGGCCTGTTAATAACAAACTTAAGGACTTGAATCGGTGACAACAGGATAGATGCATCACAATTCACAAGACGATTGGCTTTGACGATTTGAAATTGACGATTTCTATTGTTCTTTGAGTGTTTGACTTTTCGATTTTTGACGATGACGTCCCAGTTCCAAAGGAAAACGATTAGCGGTAACGAGTCTAACGACTGTCCATAGGACGATGGATCGATCTTGATGATCAGTCAATGCATTGCCGATTGCCCGACTATATATACTCGAATACACGATTGTCGATTAAACTCTCAAATATCAATCTTTCATTGTTTCTCAAATCTCAATTCTTCAAATCTAGATACAGTCAATTGCATTTGTACTTCTTCAAATCTGGATTTTGGAATTGGAAGTGGAACTGTGGAAGTTGGTTGCATTGTTTCTCAAACCAAGGTATGATTTTGTTTCTAAATTCTAACATAGTAACATTTAATTGATTAATTTTGAGATTATATATTCATTGTATTTTCAATTGATACAAGCTCTCTTATGGTAATGGTTGTTGACTTGTTGTCCAATATTATATGATGGAAACTTGGGAAAAACCCTAGGTTAAAGAAAATGAAATTAAAGCTTACTTTTCAATGGTTTCTAGTGATTTTGGTATCAAAATGTCAACATTTATCTTGTCTTTATTATAATATCAAAAGCTCATAAAAAACTGGTTGGATATCGACAAAAAATGGCTGAAAAAATCAAGAAGAAAGCAAAACAGAACTGAGTCAATCTCACTTTTTTGAGTCTGTCCATTTGATTTTGGTCATATGTTCTATTACTATGTGTTCATTTTCATTATTAATTGGGCTTAAACAGAACAGGACATGATATCTGTTATTTTGGAGCATAGTGCATACTACATAGGTTATCACTTTCACACTTTGGTCTTCTGAATTTTGTTTACTATTTTGGTTAAAACTAAATAACTAATTATAGTTTTCTTGCCTTTTAAGTTGCAAATATTGAAGTAAGGTTCGAGCATACTAATTTCAACTTGGAAAAGGGAAAACCAAAAATAAAGGAAGCACAAACTTAATTCAGGTTTTATCCTTCTATGCTTGACTAATATTGTTTGGGTATTTTTTGCTTGATTTTCATAAGATGTTAAACTTCTTTCCTTGATCACAACCATCAGGTGCACAAAATAGAAAAAGAAATAAAAAATAACAAGAAATTGCTCAATCTTTACAGGGATCGTTAAATCGATATTTTGTTAGGCATGAAAATGTGTCTGAAAATCCCATTGAAAATGTGCCTGAAAATCCCATTGAAAATGTGCCTGAAAATCCCATTGAAAATGTGCCTGAAAATCCTATTGGAAATGTTTCTGAAAATCCCAATGATTTTGCTGAAAATATTGAAAATCTGTGTACTGATGAAGTTGG